AGCTCCAGGCACCGATCTCGCCAAGATCCTGAGTGACATGCGAAGCCAATATGAGGTCATGGCCGAGCAGAACCGGAAGGATGCTGAAGCCTGGTTCACCAGCCGGGTACGCAGAGGGAAGCAGGCACGCTTTGGGGGTTGGCAAGGAGAGAGGGCTCGGTGCTCCCTACGCGAAGTTTGGCCTTGAGTATTATTCCCTCTTCCTTCTCTTATTCCCTCTTCCTCCTCTCTGCAGAGTGAAGAACTGAACCGGGAGGTCGCTGTCCACAGAGAGCAGCTCCAGATGAGCAACACCGAGGTCAGTGACCTGCGGCGCACCCTCCAGGGTCTTGAGATTGAGCTGCAGTCACAGCTGAGCATGGTACGTATCCCCTGGTTCCCTGTGCCATGCACACTTCTGTCCTTGCAGCAGCCTAGGGCAGCCTGGCCGGTGGCTATGCCCACGTCCTCTCTGGGAACCAGGCTCTGCCGAGTCTTACTCCCCTCTCCCCACCCTCAGAAAGCTGGCTTGGAAAGCACACTGGCAGAAACGGAGGCGCGCTTTGGAGCCCAGCTGGCGGAGATCCAGGCACGGATCAGCGGTATTGAAGCCCAGCTGGGCGATGTGCGGGCTGATAGTGAGCGGCAGAATCAGGAGTACCATCGGCTCTTGGACGTCAAGTCGCGGCTGGAGCAGGAGATTGCCACCTACCGCAGCCTGCTGGAGGGCCAGGAAGATCGCTACAACAACCTGTCTGCCTCCAAGGTCCTCTGAGAAGGCAGCGGGCCCGGGGCTTCTGTTGTCCTTTGGAGGGTGTCTCCTGGGTGAGGAGATGGGAAGGAAGGGACCCTTATCCCCAGGCACGTCCCTTGACCTGCCAATAAAATTTTATGGTTCAAGGGAGGAAGGATGTTTGGTTTGTTATTTCAGCCCATGGAGAGGTGCGTCAGGCCCTGGCCCTGTGTAGGTTTTATTTGAACCAAAGTTCACTCTGTCCCAGGAAAGGGAGGGGAGGATACACACATACCTTGACTGTAATGGTAATTCCTGTTTGCGGAAGTCTTCATTTACTTAACCTGGCCCTTAAAATAACCTTGTGAAATAAGTGTTGCTTCCGTTTTACAGAGGTAAACTAAGGCTCAGGGAGCGAAGTGGTTTGTTCCACATGTAACTGCTCTAATGTATGGCAAAGGTGGGATTTGAAATTGTTTTTGCTTCCAGATTTAGTTTTCTTTCTACTCTACTCCCTGGGGGTTGAGGTATCTGAGCGAAATTAATATGTATTGAACACCTAATATGTGCCATTGAATCAAAAACAGGCCTAAAAGATAGGTAGTATGAGCTGCATCTTACAGCTCAAGAAGCAGGCTGAGAGAGGTTAAGTAACTTGTCCAAGGCCACTCAGCAACTACATGGCAGAGCCAGGACTAGAACCTAAGTTGCCTGATTCTTAGCCCATGGTGCCATCCCCAGCCAGGTGGTCTCCTGGAGTTGACGCTGCTTGTGCCTGTCTTGCTGACACTCCAGTCTTGCTCCATATGAAGGCTCAGGCCGGCTATCCCTAGGGACAGTTCCTTCTGACACATTTCTCCATCTTACTGACACTGGGGATTTCGGGCCAGGCATCCTGCTCAGGAGGCTGTACCTGTCAGTGTGCGTTGCGTGTGTGCACCTACTGGCACATTCACTGGGTAAGCCCTGCAGAAGCCCCTTAACGCCCACCAGCCCATACCTGTGCCCAGGGCCTGGAATGGGACCCAGCAGTGACCCAGACCTCCCACACAGACCCCCCAACCTGGATTGCCTGGGGCCTGCCCTGGGCCAGCAAAAGAACCAAGTCCCAGCTTCCTAGTACAACTCTGCCCTTGGGGGGGTATGGCCCTGCTCCTGTGGTTTACAGCTCAGCTGCCAAGAATGGAGGCCAATTCAAGGTGAGGAAGAGGCCTCAAAAGAAGTCCCACTTCTTCCTGGTGGAGAGGTAAGGGCTGCCCAACCCTGTGAGTGACAGGGGCAAGTGAGGGACACTTGTTCCATGCCCACATACTGCTAAATGTCCTCAGCACCCTGCTAAGGAGGCTGGAGACCCCATCATGGCCATGGCAATTCGGAGGGAGGAGCTATTTCCTCCTTTTCCTGCCGGTCTCAGGTTGGTTATGAACATGTGATGCCAGAGCTCTGCTGCCGTATCCTGGACTGGCACCCCCTTCTGCCCCCTCCCCAGCCATCCTGTTCTAGCCTCCAGCACGCACAAACCCCCATCCCCCCCACTTCTCAGGAAGCCTTGGTGCTGAAGGGAGAGGCCTGGCTGTACCCTCAGCTGTGACGGCCCAGAGGCACTTGTCCCTGCTGGTGAAAGCCTCCCTTGTCACAGCTGAAACCTTCCCTCTGCCTCAGGGGCCCCTGGAATGTGACTGTGGGGCGGGATCTGTGCCCAAACAGGTAGGGCAGGTGACTGAGTCTCAGGCCTGAGTGTCAGGAATGAAGCCTGTCTTTGTGTGCACAGTGCGGGGTGGGGCTAGAGTGGGGACGCTTTTCTGTCTCAGCCTGGATTCCTGGGATAGGAGGTGGGGTGGGGGGAGTTGCGGGAAGTGCCTTTACATCCTGCTGGTTGTGATGGTCACTTCAGTCTGTTAAGCATTTCCCTGAGTCATCTTGCTTCATCTGAGTCTGGCTAGGCTGGAGTTATTTCCATTTTCCTGATTGGTAGACTGAGGCTGAGAGAGAGGAGGCATTATTGCCCAAACCCGCACACCTGGTCAATGGGAAAAGATGGGTTTAAAGGTAGCTCTCTAGGCTCCAGTCATGCCCTCTGTTCCTTGTTTCCCTGGGGAACAGGGGAGGTGTGGGAGACTTCTAAGGTAGATGGAGACTTCCTTCATGTGCCCTCAAATGCTCACTATGGCCCTGAGGCTAGGGGAGTCCGTGTTAATGGCCCAAGTTTAAATCAGGAACCAGGCTCAGAGAGGTTGGGTCTCTTTCCACTGGGCTGCACTGCCTCATCCCAAAGAGAAAAGGCCAGCTTCAGAGATGGCCCCATCTGGCTGCAGTGGGCAAAGGTCAGAAGCTGGCACAGCGTCCTGGGCAGCTGCCTGGGGCAGGGCCTGAGGCTACAGCCTGGGCTGGGGCCAGACAGAACTTTATCCTCCCAAGGCCGTCCCACCTGGTGCTAATGAGGAAGCCCCGGGCCCCACCCAGACCTGGAGCTCACAGTAGCGGTATGGACTGAAACCAGGGATTTGTGCATGGGACAGCGAGGGGCGTAGCTGCCACCCCTCGCCTGGGCCTGCGAGGGTAGGGAAAGCCACCTCGAGGGGGCTGCTGTAAGAGAATCAGGTGCAGAAGGGTATCTGGCTGGGGTCCAGCCCTCCCTCACCCCAGGGGGATGGGTGAGTAATTGTTCATGTGTTAATTGCTGGGGCCGCAATGTCTGCAGAGGCTTTTAATGAGCTCTAGATCATCTGAGTTTGATTATTTTTCTTTCGGAGAAAAAGACAATATCCTCCTACCCATGAGACAATACCACACTGTCGGTGCCCAGTGTTGGAAGCTGGGCTCACTGCCAAGCTTGGTGAGAAGGAACCCACCCCCAGCCTCGCAGGCCTGCAGTTTTCCTTGCCATCCTAGCTCAGATGCAGGAATTTGGGGTCTGCAGGAAGGACTCTTTCTGTGACCTGTTTCATTGAGTGTCTGAGGACCTGGTACCAGCGGTGCCACTTTGCACAAATTGCCTCTCCTCTCCAAGTCTCAATTTCATTTCTTCTGAAACTTGGGCAGGGGTCACCCTCTGTTGTGAGGATAAGAGGAGGCAACGGATACAAAAGTGCTTCATAAATTGTGAAGTGCAGGGTAGAAGTAAAGGATTATATTATTATAGCAAAATAAGAACGTAAGAACAGCCTGAGCTGCCCCATAGGAGCCGGCTAAGGAGGAGTGATGCCGCTGAGCCTAAGAACATGCTCAGGCTCACAGGGCATGTTCTGAAGCCCAAAGCCAAACCCCTCCTGGTGAGGGCACTCAGGAGGCCCAGGTGTCGGTCATGCACCCTGGCCCCTGCATATCTGGCACCAGGGTGGGGATCCAAGAGGAGGCAGGATGGGGGCTCTTGGGCCTCCGGGCTTCCCTGGAGAGTGAGAGTTGGGAGCACCCCTTGCCACAGGTAAACTGAGACTTAAAAAGGTAAATGTCCACAGTCTTACCATGGTAATTGGTAGAGTCAGGATTTAAACCCAGGCCTCTCAGTCTTACCCCGGTAATTGATAGAGCCAGGATTTAAACCCAAGCCTGAGGGGCTCCAGAGCCCTGTCCACTTCACCATGCTGCAACCTGGGCTAGTAATCCACGTCCTGAGTTTTTGTAAGCCATGGGGCCAGGTCCAGAGGGCCGAGCCACACCTCCAAGTGGCATTGCCCACAGGTATCAGGTGTCCCTGGAAAGGTTTCCCTGAGCTGGTGGCAGAGAAAAGGGCTCTCCTGAGTGTTCAACTCCCCCATTTGTGTGAAGTGATGCCTTGGTCTTTGAGATCTCCAGTGTCTTCCAGCCTGCCTGCCAGCCTCCTGTCCTTCCTTCCACAGCACTCAGGTACATAGAGCCTTCTGCAGTGGCTCCTCCCCAGCCAGCACTTGACAGGACAGATGGGGGCTAATCTGGCCCTGCTAAGCAGTGACATGCCTCTCTTGGAGAAGGCAGGGGCTTCCTGGAACTCGCCCCAGCCTTATCAGCGGAGGTTTGCCCCAACGCATCCCAGAATCGAGCAAAAGTTCAGCGACGTGCAGCTGGCAGGTGTCGGGATCATCAATCATCCCCTTGTCAACCCTGAGCCTGCTGGGCTTTTGTGAGCGTGCCAGGGACACAGGCTGGAGGCTGGCAGGAGGGGAGTAGGGGTGGGAGGAGGAGAGTCCCTCTCCCACACCAGGGAAGGGACAAATGCTGGCTCCTCTGGTCACTTCAGCTGGACCCTGGCTTCTGTCCTCTACTTGCCCCCAGAGACGCTGCATTCCCATTCCCAGAGGCCTCCACACTCACTCACTCACTCACTCACTCACTCACTCACAGGATTTCGAGTTGGATAACACAGCGTAATGATTGGGAAGTGGTAACTCCCAAACTGAGAACACAGAGCTGTCCCCTTGGGGAAAAGCTCAGGGCTCGGGGCAGTGGACAAGTCCAGCTGAGGGCACAGTTGGCCTGAGCTGCTCTCTGTACAGGCAGAGGCCTTGGTAGCCGTTCGCTCCCTGTTGCTCTCTTCTGGCATGGAGAGATGAACCTGTAATCCAAGTGTTAAAACGGTGCCCTGGGGGAAAACACCATTAATTCTGAATCATCTCTTTTGTTGCATTAGAAAAAAAACAGAAGAGAAAAACTTCACAGGAGCCACTCAGGGTGTGCAGGCAGCTGTGTTTGTCAGGAAGGCAGAAGGAGTTGGCTTTGCTTTGGGGGAGGAGACCAGGTCCCACAATACCCTTAGAGGGGTATATAAGGAGCCCCAGCTGGGGGGTGGCAGATGCCCTGCTCTGAGTGCAGCCTGGCCCGGCACCTCCTGCCAGCATCTCTTGGGCTTGTTGAGAACTCACTGGCACTGGCTACCTGGCCATGACCACCACATTTCTGCAAACTTCTTCCTCCATGTTTGGGGGTGGCTCTATCCAAGGGGGTTCCCTCCTGGCGAGGGGAGGGGGCTTTGGTGGGGGGAGTCTCTATGGGAGAGGTGGAAGCCGAAGTATCTCAGCTTCTTCTGCTAGGTTTGTCTCTTCAGGGTCAGGAGGGGCATATGGGGGTGGCATGAGCAGTGGCTTGGCGGAGGGGCTGGTAGTGGTTTCAGTGGAGGCTTTGGAGGTGGCATTGGTGGGGGTTTTGGTGGTGGCTTTGGTGGTGGCGATGGTGGCCTCCTCTCTGGCAATGAGAAGATCACCATGCAGAACCTCAACGACCGCCTAGCCTCCTACCTGGACAAGGTGCGTGCCCTGGAGGAGGCCAATGCTGACCTGGAGGTGAAGATCCGGGACTGGTACCAGAAGCAGGCCCCGACCAGCCCAGAACGTGACTACAGCCACTACTTCAAGACCATTGAAGAGCTCCGGGACAAGGTGAGTCCTCAGATGTCAAAGAGAGGGGAGCAGGTGGCTGGCGCCCTGCACATGCCTCTAACGTCAGTGTCGCTGCTGACTCGAGAAAATCCTTTCCTGCCCAGGCAACGACTGTCTGGTGTGTAGCCTCAGCAAATTTGGAATGCACCTGCTGTCCAGTGCAGAGGCTGGTGTTGGGGGAGGGAGGGAGGGGTCTTGGGAATCTGGTTAGGACCAACGGGGGCACAGTTGGGGGCAATTGTAAAGAGCAGCTTGCCGGGTGCAGTGGCTCACACCTGTAATCCCAGTGCTTTGGAGGCCAAGGTGACAGGATTGTTTGTGCCCAGGAGTTAGAGTCTCAGTGAGCTGTGGCTGTGCCATTGCACTCTGGCCTAGCTACAGAGTGAGAACCTGTCTCTAATTAAAAAATAATAATAATAATAATAATTAAAACGAGCAACTCACCCTGCCTACCTCATGTACGCTGCAGGCTTCTGCATAAAGTATTTCTTTATCTCTTTGGCAAGAAAAGGATTGGAGTGCAGCCTCATGAGTCCCTGATGCCTCTTGTGTTTTCCTGTAAAGAGGGCTTTTGTGCTAAAAGTACTGTTGGGCTTCAGAGACCTGGGAACCCATTACCCATTCTGCCACCCACTCACTCACCGTTTTACTCCCTGAGACTGGGTTCCTCATTGGCAAAATGCCTTCTTTAGCTGCCCTCTAGGTTGCCACTGGCTGGAATGTTCTGCAGATCCATGGCTGTGTCAAGGTGTGCAGGAGGCAGTGGCCATGACTTGGTCCACGGGGGGGCTGGTGGAGTGTCTCTGAGAGGGTCATTGTCAGAGCTGACTACACCTCACTCTTCACTCTCTGGGGCTACCAATTCCCATAGGCAGTACTGCCTCCTTGGTCTTTCATGCCCTGGAGACAAGGAGGGCAGCTCCTCAGGTGTCTCAAGGAGGCTGGCATGTGGCAGAACAAGAAATGGACACTCAAGATGAGGCTGGACTCTGCCCACCCCAGAGGCCCTACAGATGTTTGCTGGTGGTGACTGTTAGTGAGGGGCTGGCTTTGGGTGCAGAGCAGAGAGCAGCAGGGGAGAGAGAGGAGTCCTCTAGGCACCAACTCTGTCTCCTGCAGATCATGGCCACCACCATTGACAACTCCCGGGTCATCCTGGAAATCGACAACGCCAGGCTGGCTGCGGACGACTTCAGGCTCAAGTGCGCTCCCTCCTCCCTCAACTCTTCCTGCATTGCCCACTTTCCTTGGTCTTCTCCTGGCTCTGACTCAGGCGGCCCAGACCCCTCCCACTTCCTTTTTTGGCCTCCCTCTCTCCTCTCAGGTATGAGAATGAGCTGGCCCTGCGCCAGGGCGTGGAGGCTGACATCAATGGCCTGCGCCGCGTGCTGGATGAGCTGACCCTGGCCAGAACTGACCTGGAGATGCAGATCGAGGGCCTGAATGAGGAGCTGGCCTACCTGAAGAGGAACCACGAGGAGGTGAGAGGTGGCCCCCATCATCCCTGAACCTGAGAGAGGTGGGGAACCTCTTCCCAAAACGCACTTAAATTGCCCAGAGGGAACGACTTTGGCTCCAGGAAGCCCTCCCAGATTTTCCCAAGATTAAGTTGTGGGAGGCAGAGTGGGGCTGCCGGTGCTTCCTCATAGTTGGCCTGGGGCTTAGTGGTTCAGAAACACCCCCCTTGCCCCCAACCAGGTATCCTCATGGAGAGGAAGGGGCACTGTTCCCTAGTAGCCCAGACCACAGCCAAGCCGGGTGGCTAGTATGAATGGCTATCTTCCTGACTGGCTTTGTGAGCTCACATCAGGGGCCTGCCATCTCGGGGTCCTCCCTTGGTAGGACCTAGAGCAGCAGAGAGCTCCTCGGAGCTGAGGGGTCCATGAGACCAAACCTCTTCGTGTGCAATGGGGAACAGCGGTTGGGGTGTTAGGGGAAGAGCCAGGATTGGCATGTGGGAATGCAGACTCTCAGGTCTCTCTTCTGTTCTCCATCTCTAAATGGGCCCCTTCCACCCTGCAGGAGATGAAGGAGTTTAGCAACCAGCTGGCCGGCCAGGTCAACGTGGAGATGGACGCGGCACCGGGCGTGGACCTGACCCGCGTGCTGGCGGAGATGCGGGAGCAGTACGAGGCCATAGCGGAGAAGAACCGCCAGGATGCTGAGGCCTGGTTCTTCAGCAAGGTGGGCCTGACCCTTGCCCTGCCCTGCCCTGCCCTGCCCTGCCTGCCCCAGGCCCCTCAGTCTTGGAGGAGGCACCGGGGCTCACTTCTCTTGTGCATGACCTACAGACTGAGGAGCTGAACAAAGAGATGGTTTCCAACACAGAGATGATCCAGACCAGCAAGACGGAGATCACAGACCTGAGACGCACGATGCAGGGGCTGGAGATCGAGCTGCAGTCCCAGCTCAGCATGGTACGGCCACCCGCGTCCCCCATCCCGGCCTCTTGGCTAGTAGAAACTCCCACCCTTCCTGGCTAGTTAAGTCTTGGAGTTCTCAGGTCCCCTCAAGAGGTGGTTCCCTGCATTCCATTCAGTGCCCCCCGCCTCCTGCCTGCCCTCAGTGGGTTCCTTTTCAGCCTAATGTGTCTATGTACCTGTCGCTCCCCCAGAAAGCTGGGCTGGAAAACTCTCTGGCGGAGACGGAGTGCCGCTATGCCATGCAGCTGCAGCAGATCCAGGGGCTCATCAGTGGCCTGGAGGCACAGCTGCGTGAGCTCCGCAGTGAGATGGAGGCTCAGAACCAGGAGTACAAGATGCTGCTGGACATCAAGACGCGGCTGGAGCAGGAGATCGCCACCTACCGCAGCCTGCTTGAGGGCCAGGATGCCAAGTAGGGGCCTGGGCACAGGGGGAGGAGTGCTGAGGGCTGGTGGTGGCTAGGGTGCAGGGTCATCCTAAGGGAATGGCAGGGCGTGGCAGCCTGGAGGAACTGTGAAAAGAGAACTGAGCAAGGAGAGAGGATCTGAACTCTGCACTCTGGTCCTTGACTGTCACCTGGGGCAGGTCACTTCCTCTCTCTGGATCTGTGTTTCTTCTGCAAATGATAGAGGCTAGGCTAATGATAGTGAAGATCTAGTGCTCATTTGGTTCTCTGCATGAAATAGATGGGTATTCTTGTAGATCAGAATCTCAGCCAGGCGCGGTGGCTCATGCGTGCAATTCCTGCACTGTGGGAGGCTGAGGTCAGGAGTTTGAGACCAGCTTGGCCAACATGGCAAAACCTCATCTGTACTAAAAATACAAAAATTAGCCGGGCATGGTGATGGGCATGTAATCCCAGCTACTTGGGAGGCTGAGGCAGGAGAATCACTTGAATCCGGGAGGTGGAGGTTGCAGCGAGCCGAGATCATGCCCCTGCACTCCAGCCTAGGCAACAGAGGGAGACTCAGTCTCAAAAAACAAATAAAAAAACTCCAAAAAAGAATCTATCTACTTGGGGGTGGCAGGCCTGGATGGGCTAGCAGGATGTCCCACCCCTAGAGGAGTCATGTGTGTGGGTGGTGTAGGTTCTGGAGGAGGCTGCAGAGCTATCTACGTGAGCTTCTCTTAGGGACACCTGAGCTCCTGCCCTTTGCTTAAGTTAGCTTCCCTCTTTCTTTCAGGATGGCTGGCGCTGGCATCAGGGAAGGTAGGAAGGCTTCACTCTTTTGGTGTGGGATGGGGAGGGCCACCACTCCCTGCAGAAATTGGGAGGGAAGGAGAAAGAGCCCAAACGTCCAATTAGGTGGAAACATTCCCATTCCATTACCTCTTTCCCAGCGGGCCCTCTGCCAGCCCCAGGTGAGAGTGGGTTGGCGATTTATTGAGAAACTTCCAGGTTGAGTAGGCTTCGTTCAGGGTATGTCTCTCCCCAGGCCCCATCTTCATGTACTTCTGCTAAGATGCCCACAGTGAATCCCCTTTTGAACACAGCTTCAAAACCCTCATGTCGTTGCCACTGCCCAGCTCTGTGACAAGGAATTAATTCAACAACAGATCTCTGGCAGCTCTTAAGGGGTTGGTTGGTGGCCATTCTCAGGGGTGCTGTCTAGTTTCCCCAAAGCCCCATCAAGGTCCCGGCCACTTTGGGAGAGAGGGGAGGTTCCCCTATTCCAAAGCCTGCTCCTTCTCTCTCTAGCCTCTTTGGGAGGTGGCGGTGGCAGCAGCAATTTCCGCATCAACGTGGAGGAGTCAGTGGATGGAAAGGTGGTTTCTTCCCGCAAGAGAGACATCTAAGTGCCCATCGCAGGAGAAACGTCCCTCGACACCCCCTACTCTCATCGGGCCAAGTGGAGGACTGGCCAGAGGTGCTGCATATGCAAACCCCAGTCCCTGCCTTCTGAGAGCTGGAAAAGGTCCCTCGGCATCTTATTTCAGGGCTTTGCATGCGCTCTGTTCCCCTCTACCTCTCTCTGACTTCTTTAGAGCAAGGAGGTGCAAGAAGCAGCTGTATTGTGTAATGAGCTCATTTGTACGGTGTCTGTTCCTGAAATAAAGAATTACTTTTCCTTTTGCAAATATATCTTGGCAATATGCCCAGTCTTTCTTGATGGGGTCCTGGCTGGCCTCTGACCTCTGAGGAGACCCAGGGTCCACATGCTGACTGACGTCTCCCCTGACTTGGGCCTCTTCCCTGTGTGGCCACAATTCATTCTTTTGGGTACCCAGGGCGCTGGTGGCTGGGACAAACACAGTGCCACTCAGGCGATTTGCTCTTCTGGGTCACCAAGGGGTGACCAGGGAAGTGAGGGTTGGGAAGTTCCCTTAGAACAGTTTGGTTTACCCAGCACGGAACTCAGCACATCTAACAACTGTTCATATTTACCAGATGACTGATTGCACTGATTGTGTTGGTGCACCACTGCATGGCTGGCACAATGCCAGGCACGCTCACCCACGGGGCTCATTTAATCCTCACCACTAGGTGGTCAGGATTTTATTCCCACCTCAGAGATGAGGTCACTGGAGGCAGAGAGAAGAAGGACTTGCCCCGGGCCTTGTGGATGGATGATAAGCAGCAGGGCTGGGCCTGGGCCTGCATCTGTAGGACTCCAAGACCAGTGCTTGCTCTAGGACCGCAGGCCTTCTTCACAGCCTGCTGCTGGGACCCTCCTCCTTGCTTCTAACCCTCACCATATGTGCTGCTCCAATCTCCCCTCCTTTCTAGCCAGGCATAACTGACCTCCAGGGTGGCCAAGCCAGTTCCCATCTTGACTGACACCTTTTCCCAAAAGGCACTTGAAGCTGACACCTTTTCCCAAAAGGCACTTACATTGCCCAGAGGGAAAGACAACGACTCCAGGAAGCCCTCCTAGATTTTGCCAAGATTAAATTGAAAGCAACATCGAGCCCTCTTACCCTCCTTAATCCAAATCCTGCTCCTGCTCCCCCATCCCCGGCATCTCCACCCTAGTCCTGATAGAGCAGTAGCAACCATGAACACATTGTTCGTGGCCTCTGGTCTCAGGCTGTTTTCTCTGAGCTTCTGGATTGATAGTCCCAAACACAGGGCAGGAAATGAGGAAGCGGAGAGCTCTGGGTGCAGAGGTTGGGCTGGCTCAGGCCCTGGGGTGAAGATTGGGGATGAGGAGGGAGAACCGGTTTCTTGGTCTCACCGGGAAGAGCAGGTTGGAGGTGGCTCTGCTCTTTGGAGAATCGGATCTTTTGAGGGAAGAGTCAAGCCCTCTGAGAGGGTCCTCGTGTGTCTCGCTGTGCAAAGCCCCTTCCCCACACACCCCTGGTTGGAGAGAAAGTGGTGCCTGCTCTTTCTAGGGGAGATTTAATTAAGAATCTGTCTCCTGAGAACACACAGAGGCCAGACTTCCCTGGGGCTGGAGGAAGGAACCGGAATTTACTGAGTGTCTATGATAAGTCAAGCCCTGGGCGGGTGTTCCAGGACGGCATCTTGTTAACTCTTCCAACAGCTCTTCCTGGTGGCAGCAGCCTTCAGCACCAGTTTCAGAAGATGAAACTGAGGTCTGGAGAAGTTTAGTAACTTGAATGAGGTCACAAGCCAGGAAATGGTGAAGCTGGGTCTGGGACTGGTCGCTCTGATTCCAGACCCTCGCTTTGCCCTTTAAGACCTGAGATGACAGAAGCTGCAACACTTTTCTTAAGAGGTGTGCTGACTAAAAATCTAAAACCCGTCTCTCCCTCCTTCTTTCTTTTTTTAAGAGGCCATGTCTTGCTCCATTGCCAAGGCTGGTCTCAGCTCCTGGCCTCAAGTGATCCTTCTGCCTCATCCTCCCGAGTAGCTGGGATCATAGGAGTGAACCACTGCGCCCGACAGAAACTCATTTCTTAACCTCTGCAGGCAGCATGCCCAAGTGCCATTACAGTCCATCAGCATCAGAAAGATTGTTCTCATATCTAACCTTCATTTCTCATGCTGTGGTTTAAGCTCACCCTGACACCCAACCTGTTAGCTGCCAAATCGCCCACGTCCCGGGGCCAGCCAGTCTCCTTCCCACCTCTTTCGGTCCCTGGCAGTCAGAGCTGGTGGCCTGGCTGCTGCTTCTGCCTCACTGGCCTTCAGGCCTCTGTCAAGAGGTCTGTCCAGCGTGCCTCCTCTCTGGGCCAGACTCTGGCTTGACGGTAGGAGGAAAATCTCCTATCTCCCTGGAGTACTGATTTTTTTTCTCCTGGAATGCCTGGAGGGGCTGTCAGAGAATTCCTGGGAACATGCCAAGTCCCATCCCCAGCCTGAGCCTGCAGTGAGATGCCCGCACCCAGGGATGGTTCATGCCCTACTGAGCCTTTAAATAGTCTCTGGGCAGAGAGGGTGCACCTTCTGACTGCCCTGGGCTGAGGTCAGGCTTGGTTTCCAGCCAATCAGAGAAGCAGGTAGTGGGTGATGCCTCTCCCTTCTCCCCACAGAGAGAGGGCAGCTTTCTGACTAGAGATTAGGGCCTTGGGTGTGCCCTCTGCTCAGGCTGGGTTTCCCAGATCAGGCATGAGATATGCTTGCCGCTATCTCCCTGAGGACTGTGGCTGGCCCCTGCCTCTCTCTCTGGGTTTCAGTTTCCCTATTTTCTTTTTTTTTTTCTGAGATGGAGTTTCACTCTTGTTGCTCAGGCTGGAGTGCAATGTCAGCAATCTTGGCTCACTGCAGCCTCTGCCGCCCGGGTTCAAGCAATTCTCCTGCTTCAGCCTCCCAAGTAGCTGGGATTACAGGCATCTGTCACCATGTCCATCTAATTTTTTGTGTTTTTAGTAGAGACAAGCTTTGACATGTTGGCCAGGCTGGTCATGAACTCCTGACCTCAGGTGATCCACCTGCCTCGGGCTCCCAAAGTACTGGGATTGCAGGCGTGAGTCACTGGCTCAGTTTCCCCATTTTTCAATTGGGAGTCTGGTTGGACAAGATGATCATGAGGGTCTCTATGAGATGATCTGTATCCTGGGACCTCAGAAGGGAACCTGTGACGGCATCGACTGTGTTCACTCTCTTCACTGCTGAATTCTTAGTGCGGGTGCTAGACAAAGATTTGTTTAATGTGTGAACTTGCTTCTCCTTTGCTTTTCCCTGCCTTAGACATTGGTCAGTGTGCTGATCATATGCCCACCTGGTGTTCAGCTATCCCTCCATGGGCAGCTGGCAGGACAGTGGGAAATAAGGAGCAGACAGCTGTTCTCCTGAGATTTTTTTTCGATTACCACCTGTGGCTCTCCCGAATTGGAGCTGGGGCGACTCCATTGGACACCACTCACGTTTGCCAATCCTCACCTAAAGCCAGCTGACAAAATATCCCCGAAATGGCATCTCAGACATTCATCCTGAGCTTTCCTGTGCTGGGAGCAGGATTTGGGGATATATTCAGCAAAGTTCCCATCTTGGGGAAGCTGAGTTGCAGTAGGAGAAATAAACTAGGAAATCTACCTCCTTTCATTTGCCTGGTGGCCATGGGTGCCATGCTGGCTGTAGGAACCAGAAAGAGAAGGAGGTAAAGCAGTGTGTCCTTGCAGGGTGGAGGCTCAGAGGAATCCTGACAGGTCGCTGAGCAATGCTGAGCTTGCATTTCCTCATGTGTAAAAGGGAGGCAACAGCAACCTCCCGGCCGCCCAGTGCCTCCTGTGTCTCAGGTATTTGAGGAGCCTGGAATACTAACTCATCTGGTGCCCATTTTTCAGTGGTGGCCACTGAGGCACTGAGAGCTTGAGTGACTTTCCCAAGATTACACAGCAAGTCCATGGCGGATGGAGGATTGAAACTCAGGTCTACCTTGTCCAAAGCCCTTGCTGAGCTTGCTGGGTATCTGAGAAGCCTGGGCGGGATAGAAGGGATTTTAAAAAGTTGGGGGTTATAGAGATGCAAGAGCCTAAGGCATCGAGGCTTAGCCTTGAAAGACATCTGAGTGGTGCTGTGCCAAGCAGGTATCTCTGAGGAGGGGGAGCTGCCCAGACAGCCTGGGGTGATTCTCTGGGGAGAGCCTGCCTTTCAGGACAGGCCTCTTCCCTGTGGAGAAGCCCTGAGACCTTCTTTTTTTCTGGATTTCAAACTTTGTTACTAGCAGCCAAAGTAAAAAGCATGCATAATATTGCAACATAGTACATGGAACACACATACACAAAGTTTAACAAAACAGCATTTACCTTATAGCTCATGATTTACTCTGATATTTGTATTTTATTTTGTTTTTCAATAAACAACAATCACATCCTTGAGACCCTTTTTGAGGTTGGTCAGTTGTCCTGGACGCTGGGTCCCACGGATTCCAGGGAGAGAGGTGCCTGATCCAAGCCAGGAATTCCAGTAGAATCTGGGACAGGGTTGGAGCCTCACCTCTGCAGATAAACCATTGAATGTCTGTGGACAAATCTTTGAGAATCAGAGACTCAGAAAGGCAACTTGCTGAAGGAAACTTAGGAATTATTTCAATGTAGGGCCCACGAGGGGCTGGTGGGACAGCTGGAAATTCACACACTTTCCCCCTGATTCTTCTTACTCCTGGGCCTCAGCCTTCTGAGCCTTGGCATTCTGGGTCTTGGTTTCCCCAAAGGATGAGAAAGTTCCTACAACAATTCTGTGCTGAATGAGCACTCCCATGGGCCCCCAAGCTTTGGAGCTCAGACTAGGGACAGACAGCAGGCAGGCCGACCTGTCAGGCCACCAGCTGCTCAGGCCTAGCCACTGTGGGAAGCAGGATGGTCCACCGGCTCAGCCTGGGGTGACAGGTTGGCCTGAGAAAGAGTAAGGCCACAGAAGATGCCCTTGCTTGGATGGGATGGTGCCAGCACTGGCCTGGAGGGATTTGCCATGGACACAATTGCACTTTCGAGTTGAAGTAATGTGTTTAAACCCTCTGGGCCACAGCTTTCTCACCTGAGAAAGGAATATCATAAAAACAGCAGAGGGGTTTTGAGGACCGAATCAGATTACACAAGCTTTAAGAAATGGTAGCTAGTGTTATCTTTCAACATATATAAGAATGTGAATATAGGAAAAAAAGCCCTACTTTTTCTTATCTATACCCACACTTAACATAGAACAGCTCTGTGACCCCATACCAAACAATTCTCT